GACTTCTTGTTTATTTTGCAGAGAAGGCTGTCGATGGAGATGAAACTACGGTAAGAAGTGTCCTCGAAAATTAAGAAGGTGGATGGGATTTTTTGAATGAAATCGGGATCTACGTATGTATCCCTGTTTTCTGAAACTAAGAATGTGGGCGTATTCAGAGTCAGTCATTCCTGCTTTCATGCTTGTTATTCTGGAGCATAGCTTGATGTTTCTTTTGAAAAATTTTTTTCAAATTCTGAGTTAGATACGACCGCGGAGACTTTTGATAGTATTACTCTTTGGGCCGGAGTCATTGGTCTTAAATTTGACGTTTTGTTGTTGACGATTATTGTTTTATACAGATTGGTTATTGTTACGGCAAGCTCGACGGTGAACGTTGGTTGCTGCCCGCTTCGCTCGTCGCTCTCTCGTCGTGCCTTTTACAGCCTCCAGAGAGATGTTTTATGGAATGAATGAGACGTTATGTGGAATAAATACTCATTATTTCTCAATTAATACAATGTGACTGAATTGAGTGAGTGAATGAGTGGCCGACGCGGAATCACTCTGACTGATTTGGTGTAAATGAAAGTGAATGTATAACTGATGCGGAGTCAGTCCTTGGACGGACTGCTTGTGTCTCGTCGAGTGGTCTACGTGTGACTGCCTTGAATCGTCTGTTCGCTGTGAATCTACGTCGCCTTTAGAATTGGTAGGCGACTTTCTGGAGCCGGCCAAGGCGCCTTGTTTCCTAGACAAGGCTTTGTTTATGNCCCTACCGAGCCTTTCCACATACTGTCTCTCTCTTCAAGGCCAAAGAAAGTGTCCTTAGATGAGAGGTATGTTAGCACATCTGGCAATTCTCGGCAGGGCCGAGGCTTTGTAGGAATTGACCTGACTGACGCCTCGGAGGGTTCTGTTCTGCGCCAGAACAGTTATTGGTGTGACACTGTTTCTTTTTTATGAAGGTATGCACAAATACGATTGTTTGAGATTTTGAAGATGTATCTTATTGTTTTGGAACCGATTAGTTTCCCTATTGCAAGGGCGTAGTCGTAGAGGCTTGTGTCGCGTGGGTGATGATGGCTTGGTCTTTTGTATTTAATGCGTCAAATTGTGCTGCGTAAGAGTATGATTTTATGGAGTTGTTTGTTTCCGTCTGGTTACCAAATTGGGAACTCCTGTACTCAGAGGTCCCCGTAGGTTAGGATTGGTTTGTCGGTGTATTCATTCCTGTGGTACGATCTTTGTGTTCAGATAGAGGCTTGGCATTTGTTTTCACTAACACTGACACTATCTGTATAAATAGGAACTCGTATGCGAGACTGCATCGGATGTCTGTACGGTACGACGGCTAAACCGAAACTCAATTGAGAATACAAATATTATTAATTATAATATGGCAAATATATTTTTATGAAAGCTATAATTAATATTTAAATGAAAAGTCAAACAAAACTCTTGCGATAAAAGTTAAAAAGTATATCTTTTTGTAAAAGTATAAATATTTGTAGTTTTTATGACGCTTTGATAATAATATGATGGAATCCCTTAGATTTAACTGCGTCGTATCAATAAAGCACTGATTCAATTAATTGGATATAATTTTCGTTTGGTATTTCAGTCCATACTTTTATGATTTTTTCCGTTTTATTTTATTTCATGATAATTCCGTTTTATTTGAAAAAGAATTAAATTGAAATAGGGAAGTTGACTTGGCGATATTAACATTTTATTTTCTGAGGAATTTAGAATTTTTACTAATTTACAGAAAAATGTTTAGGGTCGTTATCACATTGAAATAATTAACATTATTTCTTTCGCAAAAGTGGAATCTTATGATATTATAAAATCATTTATTATTGCAAAATATATTCCTCCGATAACAAATAGAAAAAATAATAAATATCTTTAATTTTGAGTGTGGATGACGTGCATTTAGACGCAATCAAATCTCGATACGAGAATTACCTTTTTATCTAAATCTAAATCTGAATCTAAATTATAAATCATAAGATACTCGCTGAAATGGCGGTAACATATGATTAGTAATTTAACCCTTTAACTTTTTTCCTAACCACCGAAAATATTTTAAACGTACATAAAATATCAGAAAATGAATACAAAAAGTAATAATAAATCATATAGAAAATGGATACAATAGGACTGAAATTACAATTAAGATTATATGCTCACTACCGTATTCATGCATAGAGATCTGTGCGCGATCTGGTTTTAAAAAATTTCCAATTAATTTTTAATTTTTGGTTAGTTCATTGTTTCTAGTTTCAATATTATTAGTTTAGTTATTATTTCTAGAAAATATCGCTGGATTAAACTATTGTTTCCGATATCACGAGACGTCTCATGTTTGTCTCATGAAATATGTATGTTACGATAGCACATTCTGATGCAGTAGTATGATAAGTAAATTGCGGATTTTTATGCATTTTCAAATTTTCATTAACATAACGGTAGATACGTTAAGCGGGTATACGTTAAGCTGGAACTTATAACATAAGGAAGTCCTATTTATAGTATAAGTGTAGTATAAGTCTTATACTGTAAGGAGCCAACGATTTCGTGAATTGTTTTTCCGGTGAGCGGTTGTTGAGGCCGTGAAAAGGCGTTGTTCGAAGTTACATCCAATTTATTTATAAATATTTTAAAATATTTTTACACATTTTTATGATTCTGGGCTTGTAGCATAAGAAGATGTCAATGATTTCGTGGAAGATTCTCGTAAGAATCGTTGAAGCAAGTCTTTGAGTAACGTCACATCCGGTCTACTTATATATTTTTCTGGTTCTGGAGCTTCCGATATAAGACAAACGGTTAAAAGACCTTAAGCAAGTGGCTAAAGGCTTTGACAGACGTGTTAAGACGCATTTCTGATATCGAGAATGTCACAGGCGAGGTATGTATATGATGAAATAAAAATTTAGTGATTTTTTAGCGTACTCTACACTTAAATAACAGTTAGTTGGGGAACTACATAAAATTAAACGATCGAAGTTAATCAAGTAGTGTGAGCGAACCTTAACCAGGCCATCCGTTCCTAAGCGTGGGAAGACATCCTCGCCTATTTCGTAGAAGAGGCCACTCGAGATTAAGGACAATGGGCCGATTCCGATATCTTATGTTTACAACCGATGCATATAAACCGAGCTAGGGTATCCGGACGAGGGGTTGGGCAGAAGAGGGTACCCAAACTAGAGCACGAAGCCAGACGGCACTCCTTCTGCAGAACGTCACCGAGATCGCACGTCCGAGCCAGTTTTCAGTTTAACAATAAAATATACGTTGTCATATTAACGGGAATTACCGTGTAAAATTATTCCCCACAGTAGTGAATACGCCAGAAACATGAGTTTTAAAATCCATTACAGTGTTGTTAAATTTTCAATATCAAAATACGAGTCTGATAAGTAACCGAAATCATTCTACTATAGCTAAATATTCTATCCATGTTTTTCGGATTTATCATCGCTTTTTTTAATATATAGTAAACAAAGTTGGTGCCATTATCGGAATAAATTGTCTTACATTTTCCTCGTCGAGCGATGAACCGTTTCAAACTGGCCAAAAGCTTCGGTAGTCAGATCGCTGGTGAGTTCGAGATGTATCGCCTTCACAGCCAAGCAGACGAACATCGCCATATACCTTGACGCTCCGATTGCGTACCTTTCTTTCCTTAACAAAGAATGGCCCACAGTAATCGATGCCGACGTTTGTGAAGGGTGGTGCTTCAGATACTCTGACTACCGCTAGATCTCCCATTTGATAGGTTGTGGATGGCAGAGCTGCTCTGAAACATTTCACGCAGCTTCTGATTATTTTCCTGACTTGGTTCCGTCCGTCGAGTATCCAGTATTTTTGTCTGATTGAATAAAGCGTAGTTTGTGCCTCTGCATGAAGATTTGTGGTACGATTGGATAATTAATGAAACGACATGGTGGGACTTTGGAAGTACTATTGGATGAGTGGCGTTGTACGATTGGTTGGCATGGATGCGTCTTCCTCCAACTCGAATGATTCCATCATCATCAAAGAATGGATTTAGTGTGAGCAGCTTGCTTTTGTTATGGACTTGTGGTTTTGACGCAGGTCTGATAACTCTCGTTGGAACGCTTCCGCCTGTAACCATTTTATGATGGTCTTCGTGGCTCTTTCCAATTCGACTAATAGTAGCGGACCCTTTCGTTGTAGTGATTTGAATCGAAAGCAGTATGCTATTACTCTTGTCAGTTTTTCAAAATTGGAGTATCGTGACAGCAATTGGTTGGGAAGGGTTTTGATTTTCAAAACAAAGTTGCTACGGCTGTCCGGAATGGTGTTGGGCAGTTTAAATTCGAGTTGTGGCCAGTTGGATTCGTCTTGTGTTAACCACGAGGGTCCTAGTCGCCAAATCTTTTGGTTTGTGAATTCTGTTGGTAGTAATCCTCTTGATATCGCATCAGCAGGATTGTCCTTCGTTGGGACGTGTCTCCATTGCTCAGCTGAAGTCCTTCCTCTGATCACTGCCGTGCGGTTCGCCACGATGTTTTTCAATGATGACGGCTGTGTGTGTATCCAGTGGAGTACTGTGGTGGAGTCGGTCCAAAAAATTGTCTTCTCGATTTTGATTTGTATACCTTGGGTTATCGATTCGTACAGTTTTGCTAGGAGAAGGGCTCCGCATAGTTTCAAACGAGGAAGATATACGACCTTCAGCGGAGCCACTTATCATTTTGCACAGAACAAGGTGCATTGTGTTCCGTGACTCGGTGAATATAACCTGACATATATGCATGCGCCGTATGCCTTTCGCTGGCATCGCAAAAGCCATGCAGTTGTATGTTGTCAGCGTCGTCCAGAATTGCCTTGCGAAGAAAAGAGAGATTGTTGAGGACTTCCAATTGCCTGCAATATGTTGTCCAGTAAGTATGAATGTCGATAGGTACGTCCCAGTGTAGTTTTAACGTCCATGGTTTTTGTACCAAAATTTTTGCGGTGACGACCACGGGGCTTAGCAATCCAAGCGGATCGTAAACTTTTGCGACTTCGGCGAGAATGGTGTGTTCTGTTATTGGTCTGTGGTTTGTTGCGTGTTGAACGGAATATGTGATACGGTCATGCAAGGATTCCCAGAAAATGCCAAGTGTTTTAATGGTGTTGTCGTTGGATGGACTTAGTTCTACTATACGTCTTTGACATACACTCTATCGTCACCTTTCGGTGTTTGAAGTAATTCTTCACGACGTTGATGATGCGCGAGCTGCATTTGGCCTCCACTAGTCTCTCCAAGACAGCGGGCCACCAGAGGTTGTCAACGGCACCCTCTATGTCGACAAAAAACACGATAATGTATTTCTCGTCGCTGTTTCTTACAGCTCCTCTGAGTTCTATAAATGCATCATCAACGCCTTTTCCTTTCCTGAACCCGAATTGGTTCAGGCTTTCAAGCCCTTGCTCTTTGTATGTACTTTGCAGCCTTTCAACAATTATTTTTTCAACAAATATTTTTCCGACTACGGACAGAAGTGCAATCGGCCTATACGAGCTCAAAAGAGTCCTGTCCCTCTATTCCTTCGTCCTTTGGCACCACCTTCAGCCTCGATTCCTTCCATGGCTTAGGAAAGCACTTTTGCTCAAAGCAATTATTAAACATGTATAGAATTGGTACTGGTTTCGCTCTCCATAGTTCCTTGACAATTTCGATTTTGAAATTGTCAGGCCCAGGAGCTTTGTTGTTTTTAACTTTATTTATAATCATGTCTATTTCCTCGTATGTTATTGTGTTCTTCATATTTGCGTTCTTATAGTTTCTCAGTTTTTGATTTGCAATCGTGCCTTCCTCACCTGCATCTGCTGCTAGCACACATTTGTCAAGAAGAGTCTCGACGGTGGCGCCAATGCTTTTAGTCCTACTCCCATCGGGTAATTTCAACTGTCCAGAAGGATGGTTTGTGAAACTTTTTTCGTACAATTTTGTATACTCCATGGGTCCTTCCTCGTTGTTTCCTTCCTCGTTTACGAAGTTCTGCCACGTCTCTTTTTTGCATTTCTTAATCCTTGAGACATAGCTGTTCCTGAGCTCCCTGTAGGTTTCTGCGTACTTGTCAATCAACTCAAAAAGTTGTAGACGTCTTGCCCGTAGTAGCTGCTTTTTTGCCAATGTGACATTTTTTCTCATCGTGGTCAACTACTCATTCCACCACGGTATCGTCCTGTTTGCAAGCCTCTTTCTCGGTATTGATTTTTGGCAACACTTTTTTAGTCTATTGTTAAACTCTCTAACCGCCTTATCAACAGGGAGAGTTTTAATAATTTTGACAGCGTTTTCATCGAAATTTTGCTCAACTTGGTCCCTGAACCGTTGCAGTTCTCTTTTCGCAAGTTGTAGCCCAATTCCGTGTTCCAGATACGGTTTCCTGTATCACCCCACTGCAGTTCAGTGATGATCAAGTTGTAATCACTTGTTGTGCATGAGCTGTCCACCTTCCAGGCTTTAACAAGTTTTGCCAAACTTGCGGTGGCCAGCGTGATATCTATATTCGATTGACCGTTAGCGTTTACAAATGTGGGCACATTGTCTGGCTGATTCAAGACGGTAAGGTTGTGTTTCATAATGAGATCCTCAAAGAGAGCTCCTTTCTCGTCTGTTACGTCAGCGTGCCACAACACTGACTTCGCATTTGCATCTAGAGTTAGGAGCACATTCTCTCTTGGAAAGCCGTTGATCAGACGCTCTATTTGATAAAGAAAACTTTCTACGGGCATTGAGTACTGATAGTACACATTAATAACTACGAACTCGAGGTCGCCAGCTATGACTCTGAAGCACATAACGTGCTCATCCTCATCTCCGACGTTAAGCAGAGCTTCTACCCTCTCTCGATTTACCACAGCAGCTACCCACGGCTTTTCGGAGTTCAGTGGTTCGATTTCTACCAAGTTTGGGGAGCTGTATCCCCTAACTTTTCCTTTATGGCAAAAGGGTTCCTGCAGACATAAAATGTCCAGGCCCTTTTCTTTTGCTATAACTTCCAAATTCGCGGCTGCTGCTGCGGATCGCTGTGCATTTATCTGTCCTATTCGGATAGCCATTTAATGCGACTCTTATAGATCTCCACATGTCGCTTGAACTCAGGGTACTCCCTGTTGTGCACCTCGTGCTTCACCTCTTTACGTTTGGCCCTTATGCAATTTATGCATTCGAGCTCGTTCTTCTTTGGGCAGTCCTTCTGCAGATGTTCTTTACTGCCACATCGGTTACAAAGCTGACCTTGGGCACTACAGGCTTTCGCCATGTGCCCGTAGCCGTGGCACTTGTAACACCTTGTTACATTTTCATATTCCTTGATCCCGTAGGATCGCCACATAAAGAAGGCTCTTCCTTTATCCAAGAGCGTTTCGTAATGCTTGACGGGTAGCTGGACTCCAGTTTACCCGCCTTTCATCCTTCGTTCTGAAGCTGTGAGTAAATTTTAGTAGTCGCTCTTTATCTCCCCAATATCGGAGTCAGAGCCGAAGTCGAGATTCTTTTTAACAAGATCCTCCTTCAGCTCCTCCGCTTTGTAGTCTTTTTCCACATTGTAGACAATAATCGATGGAGCGATCTTCTTAGGCTGCTCTACGATGAACCCAAGCTTGTCCAGGTCACAAGACTTTATGGCTTCAACGTCATCCTGTCCCATGACTTCCACCACAAGGCCTTGCTTCCTCAGTTGCCTGACGTTTCGGACCTTTAGGTTGTTTCAAACCTTGTCCAGTCCTTACAAGACGTCAGCTTTTATTTCCTCATTATTCCTTTTGTCCTCCTTTTTTGGTTTAATAAGGACAACTTCATATTTTTCCTTTGGTACATAATTCTTGCTTCTGGGCTCCGTTGTTCCGGGCCCAGAGGCGCGCATTCCATGTAGGCTCATGGCTGCCGCTTGTGCATACGTGGAAACCACAGGCTGTGGTTTGCCAGCGTTCTTAATAGTCTCTTTTAGTACTTTATTTTCCACCAAGACACTCTGGAGGCGAGCTTCCATAGACGCCCACTTCTCCAAAATGAACTTGGCTGGCCTATTAATTTTATTTGACTCTTCAAATAAAAATTTTTCCAGCTCCCTTCGGCACTCCGTTACTGCCTCTAAGGAGGCAACGTTGTTAGCGCCATTTCCTTTCGCGACTGCTCCATCCAATCTCTTGCTCTTTTCGTTACTCGCATTAGATTTGTTGGTCTGCGATTCGCCAGGTGTAGGCGAGCGGGACGAGCTAGCCCCGCTTCGCTCTTTGATGGGTGTTAATATCACCCTCGGCTCATTTTCCATTGCCGTAGCAATCTCCTCCACTTTCATTCGCTCTTTGTTCCGTCTTAGGTTTTTTGATTGTTTTTACGTTGGTTTCCATAATTGGTCCCACGAGTGTGGCGGGAAAGAAGGTCGACCCAGGCAGAGCCCCCATTACCTGGGCAAGGCAAAATACAACCGGACTTCGCCAGGTGTCCGGAGGTTGGCCACTAAGGATTGATGCACCCACCAGCCCACTTCCCAGTGCAACTGAGAGAGAAGTGCCTACTTGGCGCGGTTCCCAGCTTTCGGTTAAGGATATTTTATAGAGGTTATCATCCTCGCGGACCAGCCCATTAACAGGCTTACAGTATGAAGAAAGCTCGGGTACTTCGGGTCAATCCCGTACTGTAGGAGGAATAATCCACCTGCAGCCCCTGAGAGGCTTCGCCTTTTACACGAAGACCCTTTCCGCCGCGCAACAAAAATACAGTGCGAATGACCGAGAGCTACTAGTTGCGTATTGTGCCATTAAACATTTCCGCCACTTCATAAAAAGGACGAAATTTTATATTACACACTGACCACAAACTCCTCACATTCACACTTCAGCAGAATTCAGAAAAATGCTCACCGCGACAGTTTGGCTACTTAGACTTCATCAGCCAGTATATTACGAATATCCGATACATACAAGAGGCTGAAAACAAAGTAGCGGGCGCTTTGTCACAGGTGGAAGCAGTATCGTGTCTACCCGATCACTTCGCGCTAGCAAAGGCACAAAAGCAGGATCAGGAGCTGAAAGAGCTCCTAAAATCTCAGTCATGCGCACTGCGACTCAGAAAGGTCCATTTCCCCGAAATGTACACCTATATTGTGATACAAATGACGATTCTGTAAGGCCATAAGTCCCGGAGAACTTACGTCACCAAATCTTTAACTCGTTGCACGGTTTCTCCCATCCAGGAGTACGTGCAATGCAGATATTAATTACTCACCGGTACGAATGGCTAGCAATAAATAAAGATTGTCGTTAATGGGCGAAGCATTTCGTTCCATGTTAGCTTGCGAAAATAACGAGACGTGGAACGACACCGTTGGGAAAATTCGGCGAAGCAGCGAGGGTCGACCATGTCCACATGGACCGATCCTTATCGGTCTCAAAGGGGTACAGGTATTGTCTGACCTGCGTTGAACGCTATTCGCGTTAGGCCGAGGCAGTCCCAATTAAAGAAATCGATGCGGAAACCATCGCAGCAACATTTTTATGGACATGGATCACACGTTACGGAGTATCTCTCCGAGTCACGACAGATCAAGGCCACCAATTCAAATCGCAACTCTTTAACAAGTTAACACGATTAATTGGGGCCTCACGTTTAAGAACGACCACGTATCATCCGCAAACGAACGGTATGGCGGAAAGATTTCATCGTCAACTTAAAGCAGCAATTAAATGCCACGAAACGGAAAGAGATGTTACCTATCATTCTACTCGGTATCCGCACCGCAGTAAAGTAGGATTTGAAAACCTCAGCCGCAGAAATCATCTACGGCAGAGGAATTCACTTACTCGGTGAATTCTTTACAAATAGCAATAGGCTAGCCCATTTCGATTTTGCAAAGAGGCTACACGAGAATATCAGTAAAATTAAACCGATACTGAGAACCCAATATGGGTCGCGTAAAACATTCATTTACAAAGAACTAAACATAACATTGTGGGTATTCCTCCGACATGACATCGTCAGGGGTTCCTTGCAGCCCCCGGACGATGGTCCCTTCAAAGTTATAGAACGTGGCAACAAGACGTTCGTAATCGACATTGATGGCAGGACTCTAGAATCACCATAGATAAACTTAAACCCGCTTTTATACTAGCTGACGATCAAAATCTTTCGACCACCGGACCACCCAACGAACCATCCGATGAACAGACTGCTGTACTTTTACCACCATTGGACAATAAGGCAGAAGTAAGAAGAACACGATCCGGCAGACACGTAAGATTTCCGGATCGAATTCAAGCAGGAATAGACAGCCTCGGAATTGGTTACGGAAAAACGTTTGCTCCGTCGCATAACAAGTAGCGCTGTTACTGGTAAGGGGGGTGATATAGGGGACACGACCCAGACAGTACCAGAAATAATATAATAAATATGTCGCCCTCAACGACGTGGATCCTGGACGCAGTGCCGTCAAGGCCATGAGATAATTGCCAAAAAAAAAAAACTTTTATGGCTCTGACCGTGCGGACTTCAGTTAAGCAATAAACTTCCAGATCCTTCAACCTGGAAAAGACACAAAGGGAGTCGGGGATATATAAGGCCCAATTCTAACGCACAGAGTATCACTAGTTCTTCTACACCGAGGTCCACGTTATGAAGTAGATCACCACTGTACTGCCTGTGCGCATTTCTTACGGCTCAACTCGCAAGTATCATTTTTGTTACAATTAGTGTTTGGACGACAGTCCGTTGTACAGCCTTGTAAAGGTCTTACCGAACACAATGAGGGTCAAAATGTGATGCGACAAATAAATTCATCGAGCCAGGGACAATAAACTCTTGTAACCTTCTCTACGGCAGGGACCTCATCCCGCGACCGTATTTCATATTTCAAACTAACATTTCCGTATTGTAGACATATTTGACTCTTCATTCCAAGGCTCGATGAGTTTCTTTATCGCATCGATCCCCACCATAAACAGGACACTAATAAACCGGCAAGACACGGAAGATAGAACCGTTAGTTCCAAGAAGCAATTGTCAAATTTACTTCTTGGAACCGACCCTGAAAATGTTTGGAAAGACCCACCTTTCCGATCGGAAAGGAAGCAAAGAGGGCTCGGATATATAAGAGCCGACTCCGAAACAAAATACAACAGTCTTATTCTCACTTTCAATCAGCAAGAAAACCTCCCGCGTGGCTGCTGGTTCGCGTCCCCAAATCCAGTGCATTCCAGGGTAAGAACAATTTAAAGAACAAAAGAAAAAAAAATACTCTTGTTTTTTTTCTAATCTTACGTTTAGTGCTCAATATATTTCTGTGAGTGAATATTCAAAAAAGTGTTAGTCGTAGGATTCAATTCACACTCTTTAATCAATATCACAAATCAAACTTTACTTTGAACTAGCTGCACTTCATTAACGTTGAAGGCAGCGAGCCACCGACCGGCTCGTACGTCAAGGAAAAGAAAATACGTAGAACTAGATCGGCACGCTACACCCTGGTTGGAATTAAATAAACGTTATATAAAACACTAAATACATTATTGATATCATTTATTGTTATTTTTTTATGAAAAATATCTAAAATTGTGCAATTATAAATTAGTGCGCAAATGATGTTATGAACTAGTTAACTAAATCTCAATCTGAATTAGGGCCAATAGCTATGTAATATTTCTAATAGAATGACACATAGTAAACTGAGATTAGGATTTCTGAAGTTGAGATCACATGGATCACAACCACACGCGAAATAAAGAATACTAATTGTTAAGTGCTTTAAAATTTCATAGAACTGTATTGAAACAAAATAACATTTTCCAATTGGTAACTTCTTGACATAAAAATTTTATGTGCGTTTCATTCTGCTTATATATCTTTTTCTGAATGTTTGATCCTTTTTCTGATTGTTTGACTCTTAACCGAACCTTGTGTGATTCATTTTGTGACGAATTTCCTAAAAAGACAGGTTTCAGATCTCCTAATCAAAGCATACTCGTTGAAGTGAATTCTAAGAAAATTTTATCATATCTAGTACTGTTTTATTCATGAGGAAAAAATTCGAATGTTCTGCTTCTAATATCGATTAATACGATCCATTAATTAATTACATGAAAATTCTCATTGTGAAAATTGTTCTACTGACAGCTAATTTACAATAGGAATGAGCAATATTTTATTTTTTGCAAGTCTAATGGGGAAAATTTCGGAGTCAAATTTGTACTTTTAAATAATAATACACATGTATGTACATTATTTTTTTCACATTATTCATGGTATATTTGTTCACACGAATTGTACGACTTACATATACATTATAAATTGTCACAGATTATTTTATGAATTAACAAATTATTACGGTCTAAAACGAGCTCGTTGGTAAACTACACGAATTTTTTATAGAGGTCGAAATTTTTATGTGCTTTTTATGTTTCTTATGCCAGGAAAACACAACAATCCCGTCGGGACAAAATAATCTGGCATTCGTTGCGTGTGAGTTGATAGTGTAACGGCTAGCAGATATCGGAAAAAAGAGTTTTCTTAGACAAAAAGTTAGGAGAATTTACGACTCACGTTTCGCCTATGCTATTGAATTGCGAAGGCCAAGTTTAGTTTTTACAGTGCGTAAGATTAGACGTCCGCACTTATAGTTTTAGAAATTCGGCCACAATAGCATTTCTGCGAAGCGTCGTAAACTCTAGGACTCCTAAGGGCCACCCAGATCTGCATCTGGAAAACACTTGAAGAAAGTAAGTGAGATCCAGAGGAAACCCTGCTACACCACCATAATTCAGGAAAATCGGTCCCGGAAAAATTGTAGCCCCACTTTCGGAGAAAACGCGTCACGAACGCAAGGAGTAGGCGGCGCAATTTCGTGACAACCTAGTTGGCTAAAACTCAAGAACGATTTGGCCAATTAGGGATGTCTGAGACGGGGACTGAGTTTTTCTAATAGCAAAGAAAGCAACGAGTTTACAGAAGAATTAGTACAGTCAGAAGAAACCGATGGATATACCGCCATACGGATGGACAGATATACCCGCGACGTGAACATCAAACAATCGTCTACATGTTCACCGCGTCTTTCGAATTCATCGCGTCCTCGAATAACCTAGTTAAATAAACTTAGTTAACCACGAACAAGAGTCTACCACAGTCTATCACCTCATAGTATCTCGCAACAAACATCCCCAAAACTGGTGACTACTGACGTGAGTTGTGAACCATTTGAAAGATTCGATGACAAACAGAAGTGCCACACGCGCCGCGGAACCGACGAGGGATCTGCATACTTGGACACCGTCATTCTGGCCGGAAAAACCCAACCTGTGGTTCAAGCAGCTCGATATCCATTTCGAGGCAAACGAAGTCAAGTCTGATCAGGGTAAATTTAGTTTTGCGCTCGCGTTTATCGAAGCCACGAACGCGGGCGAAGTCGCTGACCTAATCAGCAAATCCGGCAGACAAAAGGACCGCTATGAAACGCTGAGGACGGAGATGGTCGGCCGCCTCAGCGCGACGCGCAGCAGCAAAATTCAACGGCTATTCGAGCGGGAGGAAATTGGAGACTGGACACCGTCGCAGTTTCTTAAAAACATGCGGACGTTAGCAGGCGAGGCTGTGACAGATGAGTTCCTTAGAACCATGTGGTTGAGCCGATTACTACAAGCAGTCCAAATAATCACGAGCGCGGTGAACGTCCCGTTGGATCAGCTGGCAGTCGCGGCAGACAGGATCCACGATACAATGCCGAAAGTCACGGCTATCTCCGTGAAGACCAACCAGACTTAGGAGAGTGCAATGCAAATCCACCACCAGAGCACCACCAGGGACCCGGAGAAGGACGAGCTGCGGCAGAAGCTAAAAGAACTTCGAAAGCAGATGACCGAGCTTGTGAGAACTTCGGGACGGCAGGCATCGAGATCCCTCGAGGTCGAAAAGCCGGCAACGAAGAAGGTCGAAGTCGCCATCCGCGAGGGACCACTGGTACCATCGAACCTTCAGCGACAGATCCACAAAGTGTCAGCCGCCGTGCAATTTCCAGTCGAGAAATGGGGAGTCCCAACACTAGATACGACTAGTAGTGACGGGCCAAGGACGAGCCGCCTCTTGGTCACCGATTCTTAGACACTGGGTCGGACCTGTACGTGTTACCGCGAACGAGTGTTAAAGATCGAACCGAAAAGTCGGCATACGAAATGTTCGCGGCAAATGGGACTACCGTAAGCACCTATGGCATCAGGACCCTCTGGCTTGACCTTGGACTTCGACGAGTATTTCCGTGGAAATTCGTCATCGCTGACATAGCGAAACCCATCATCGGGGCGGATCTTCTAATCCACTTCGGACAGCTCTTCGACCTCCGACGCCGCCGACTATTGGACACATCGCTCGTTTCAACTGAAAGGATTGCCGCCGGAGAGCCCGATTCAGTGAGGACCATCGTGATTACCATAAGCACCTGGCATCAGGACTCTCTGGCTTGACCTTGGACCCAGTTCACACTGTTTACACTGCTGATACCGTCGATAAGAGAACAACAGCTCACACAGCTCACACTGCTTACACTGCTGATGTCGCCGATGAGAAGACAGCAGCTCACACAGCTCACGCAGCTCATGCAGGTTACAGTGAAGATCGCTGAAAGGAAATGTGATCGCACTGGGAAGCTCTAAGTTCCCGAATAGGAGGGCGATCGAATTCTCTTTGACTTCAGAGAGGAAATCCCGTAAATTGTGCTAAGCACGCCTGCTCTGTGACTTCTCTGAGGAAGTCCCGTGGATTGTGCTAAGCACACCAGCTCTCTGAATTTGATGGTGGAAGTCCTGTGGATTGTGCTACGCACGCTTCTAGTCTGACTTCACTGCTAGAAGTTCTTGCTCGTGCTGGGCACGCTGATCGTCTCGCTTTCCGGAGAGGAACTCCGTAGTACTTCACACGTGGGTAGAATGAATTCTAGATAGAAAATTCCTGATCCGTTGCTAACTTAAGTTTTCACCTTAAACTCAGAGAGAGAGAGAAAGAAAGAGAAGAGAGAGAGAGAGATCGCGTTATCTTTAGAAGTTTCCTCGATTTCTGACCGTGGTCACACAAGAGAGAACTTGCACACTTCACAGATGGTCAACACTACGTTGCCGACTTCGAGGGTTGTTCGAAACGAACTGGCCGATGCTCGAGCTTGAGCTCCGTCTTCCCAACTTGGGACTCAAGGCGACAGTCTGGCGCCACGTTGCGTTCACGCACAGGCCTGCCGAAGATGTGACTTACCTCGGTACAAACCTTATCCCGGTGACTTTGTCTCGGTCGACAAAGTCCAGACACCAGGAAGGTTTGGGTGGTCTTGCACGAAACTCTAATTTACGACACTCCAAGTATCGCGGAATATCTAGAATCCGCTCCTTTCAAAGATTGCTTCATGATACTCTGGGTATCGGAAAATGTCTAACATCAGTCCTTTTTGAAAAAGAAATTTTTGTTTTTCGAAGGCCAAGCGACTGGGGTTCCAAGAACTCCACTTAAGACATCCGCTGGTTAAAAAAACGAAAAGTGAAAGAGTGGGAACGAAAGTTGGCTCTTCCATTGCCTTTATGTTTCAAACAGTCTTATATATTGTGTATTAATTATAATTCTATTGTGTTCTACCCCGTCACGGGATTAGGTAGGTAAGTTAATTGAGTCAAGATGTGTCGTTGAGCGAAGTTGGTTCCATAAAATAACGTTTACAATTACCTTATGGGCCTAGGATGCGTCCCTCGTAATATGTTCTATATTTATTTAGGCGAGGACGATAAAGAAACTTACCGAGTGATCGGCCTAACATAATAGAGGTGGGGTTCGCACCGCGAAGGGCAAACTCATCGTGCCAGGGAAAACAATTTTATAATTTCTAATTTCTCGACGGCAGGGATCTGCCGTGACTATATTTTATGTCCTTCGTTACCTTGCATCTTCTATTGTAGTCACACCGGACTACTAATTCCCAGGCTCGTCATGCTCGACGCTCAATTCTAAGGCTCGGTAAATGACTTTATCGCAACTTTTCTACGACATCCATAAATCCAAGACATATTGCGAGGGACACATCCTGGGACCGTTAGAAAGTGCAAATACTTTGCATTTATTCAAACCATGTTCCCAGTGGGGCATATCCCCACTGGGTTGATACATCGATCCCATCACGGGCGGCCTCGTGGCCATTCTTTTAAAGTTACAATAGAGACAGGGAGGGGCTGTATAGGAGCCCCACTCCAAACGCGTGCACATGGCGCTTTGTCCTCGTTCAGACAATTTAATGGCTTCTAGTCACAGCCAGCAGTGGTTGGCAACCCCTATAATTTGTGATATTATTATATAAATAAATAAATAAATAAATATATGTACACATGGTTAAAAATAAGTAATTACTGCTGACCAGAGTGGTGACTAGAATATTATAGTAATAATGTGGCCGGACCTAGTGGCCTCGCTCCCGGCCATGCACGCCACGACCGGTAGGACGCCGCGTGCGCTTATCTTCGCGAGGTTGCTAAATTCAAAGGACGAGCGCGGCGCGGATAGCTTCAACTTATGCTATTATAATAATATTGCATGGCCCGTGTGGATATTATTAAACAAAAGAAAAGAAAACCTCAAGTAAGCCGTAGTGGTTATGAAGTTAAAATTAAATTAAAACAGATGTCATATACTAAAATAAGTAAACCAAGACAATTGTCTCGGTATAGTCAATAGGTTAAATCAAAGCTAGCACAGTGGTGCTAGCATCAAATTTGGAGGCTAGTTTCGGGATTCAGCGGAGTCGGCGACTCCACTGTAGTAACTATTTCCACACGGACCGGCATCTCGAGCGCCGAGGGGGCCCCGGAGGGGGGCACCCCCGCTTCCTCAAAATGATATTGCCGGATTCCCGTGACGTGTTCGACGATCAGCCGTCTCATCAGGCTGGCGTATCCGGATGAGACACGCAGCAGAGCCACCAGGCGATCATTCCATGGCTGCCAGGCTCCCAGGGCGCCCACGACGAAGCCATCAACGTGCACGGTGTAACCGCGCCCACGCAGCGAGTCGGCGAGGGGTTGATATTTGATAATCTTTTCCAACCTCGCCTTTTCAAGCGCTTCGAACGTATTTTCGAAAGGCACAGTTACATCGAGCACGACAACGGTTCTCGACGGCTCGTGCGTCACGACTATGTCGGGTCGCAGGACCGTGAGATCTTCGCCCGCACCTGGAACTCGCTGGTTAACCCGGAGATCGCCCGGGAGTCTGGAGGCCGCAGCAAGCCGCTCGACAATGCGATTGTGTCGCAACTGGCGAGTGGCCGCATGGGGGCCGCTATGACAGAGCACGTGGGGTAGGGTTTCTAGCTCATACCCGCATCGCCGACAGCGCCGATCACCGCCACCCCATCGACGCGCCCCATTTAAGGGGAGCACGTCGAGGCGCGCGCGGTGAATAAAGCGCCAGTCCGCGAAGCGAACATGCCGTCCTGTCCTCATGATGTGATTGCTCACTCCATGTCGGGAGGTAGCGTCGAAGACTTTACCCTGGTCGCGTTTGGTGAGGAAGGAGTTCATGTAATGTTCCGACAGAGCGGCCCTCATGCGGCCGAGGGCTTGCTGCTTGGCAGCCGGGGGAATAGTCACTCCGGCCGCCGCGTGCTAGGCACTCCAGCGAGAGCTAGCATCGCGCCCCGTCCCAGCGCCATCGAAAGTTGAACTTTCTCGCCGACCTCAATGTTGCTGATCTGACGTTGGACCAAAATGACGCCGAACCAGTGGAGGGGAGCCTCGAGCGAACCCGAGAGGTACTCGGCAATATCCCCCTCCGTGATTGGCCGCCGTATTTTTCCACGGACGCTGGTCTCCAGCGATGATCTCGCGATGTGCGCAACCACCCTAAATGTTCAGCATCCTAAACGCATGAGCCACGCTGGTCCGCGAGGTCGGCCAGCGGGAGGAGTCCACAGCCCCCCCCAGGAGGGGGGAATGAAGACCACCTCGGCACCAGCTCGCTGGGGGAGGTTTAACCATCCCTTCACCGTCCGTTTTATAATACGGTCAGCCTCCGCTAACGGCGATTTACGAACTAAGCCACCCCGAAGCAAGAAGTCGAGGCGAGGCAGCAGGAATGTCGCCACGACCTCGATCTTCTTCGCCAGGGGGTGAGGAGAGACGCGCTAACAGCACTGAGATCATTGATCAGTTCTTGAATGGCGCTGTGCGGGGTCTGATCAATGCGAACCCCCGTGGGGATTCCGAGGTGGGAGTAGGAGTCCCCTTGCTCCATGACGGGTAATTGTTGTCCCGCCATTTGGAAGGTCGTCGGGACCGGGGCTCCCCCCTTCCCGAGGTGCAGTGTCGCACACTTACGGAGGTTGAAGGAGAGGCCCAACGACCTCGCCGTTTCCTCTGCTGCGTTCAATAATTCTACCATGCTATTCGGGGAGGTGGCGACGAACGCAACGTCGTCCGCGTATGCCAGAGCTGCGATCCTCTCGTCCGCTACCTCAAATCCAGCTCCCGAGTTCCCCGGTCTTCGGACCAGAGGGTTGATCGCCAGATTGAAAAGGATCGGGCTCAAGGGGCAGCCCTGTCTCACCCTTGAGAGCATTGGAATGGGGTCGGTATGACCCTCACGGGTCCGCACGCGCACCGTTGAGCCCTCATAGAGGCTCATTACAGTATCGACGATCCTTGCGGGCACGGAGGCGGCGGCGAGGGCATTTTTGATGACCGCATGGGGAACAGAGCCGAAAGCGTCGGCTAAGTCCAGCCATGCGATCACCACTTCCT